GACGAACAAACTATGCGGCCTCTTGACGCGCAGAGACACCGACGCCACATGCTACGACTTGCCAGAGAGCGCCAACGCCGACAATCGAAGGCGCATAAGATGCAACTATTGGCGGCAAAAGAGCCTCTGTTAAATCCACCAGTGAGCAGTGACTTCTTTCCGCATACATCCGAGCTTGAATCAGCCTTGGTCCTAAGTGCAAACTGGATGCATGTGTTGGAGGACGTCTCGTGGTGTGAACAAGCTCGACACCAATGTGTTCAATGCAAAGTGCCCACTGCCGACGTGCGTGAGTTCATGCAACATTGCGCTTTGGCACATGAAGGGTTCTGGCAACACCGACCTGACTATGTTCACAATAGCATTTTGCTCAATCAAGCTGCGACACCTTGCTGCTGGTGCCAGCCTACGACGCACAGGCCAACATTACATTCACAATATTGCATGCCAGTGTTGAACGCGGCTCTGCTGCATTATACGTCTGTTCATCTTTTGCTTGAGGATGGAATCCACACCGATGGACGAACTCAAGACCATGTACGGCGAAATGCTGCCGTCCTTGAGCAGCACCACATGTACTCCGGAGACCACACCGTCGAGATCAACAGGAAAGAGATCAGCATCTCCGACACACCAGCAAGGCCACAAAGGACAGGGCCGGAAGAGTACAAAGGGACGCGGAAGGGGACGCGGAGCACCGCACCCGAAAACGTCCCTCTTTCAGGAGACCTCAAGCCTCATGGACGACACATATCACCTGGAGAAGGACATGGTCAAGGAGCTGGTCCGCCTGTCTCTGAGGCACGAGCAACAGTTGATGCGATTGGGCCAAGACACTGTTTTACTGTTCACGTTCCAGAACAGGCCAGGCGAGAAGGAAAACATCCTGCCCGCGTTGTTCAAGATAAGCCAGGCCTGGAAGCAGAAAATGGAGAGCGAGACCAAGCCAACAATGTCCTTGCGGGTCACGGTAATGCAGTGCATATGTGCGGAGCTCCTCGACCGCGTCAAGAAGGTGACTACCACGGAGGCGTTCAAAGCAGTGGTGGTTCGACAGCAATGGCGAACACCGGAGGGACACTGGAACTTCCTACGCTGGAATGCCGAGACGGAGCAGCTGGACAAGATAGAGGGACAGGGCATCACGCAGGAGGAGTTGGAAAAGTTGATCGAAACCATCCAACAGAGTTGCATGCTGCCTGGAGCCCTCTACAGATTTCAGGCGACCAGAAGGCTGGCGGCAGAACTGGCGGGACACCAACTGACCTTCGTAGCGGAGGTGGGGCTGCGGCAGCCAGGGGCGCAAACACTGTACCAGTCTCTCGCCAGGATCCAAGGGGTAGCGGCATTGCAGCTAGTGGGTCTACGAGTTCATCACCCGCGACTCCAGATGTCACCGCTGGCGGACACCCTCAGTCGATATCTCAAGTGGTCACTACCTTGGCATTGCGTAACCCCACCAACCTTTGTTATCTGAATTCCGTTGTCAGTGTCTGGTTGTGGCTTGCGGCGAAAGCTCAAGGTGAATCGAGTACACTCTTTGGACGAGCTTCCGCAGCTTTTCAACGTATCCTGGCATCAAATAGCACATCACCATACATCGCCGGCATGCTTGCATGGCGCACATACTCTTGACATGGCCCCAACTACACCAACAAAACGATGCTCATGAATTCTGGATATATCTCCAGGATTTTGCCAGAGCGCCTGTCTTCGAAGGAGTTTGGGAGGCGAGGACTGCAATTGAGGGCCCCGGACGATACATCCGAGAGCTTCAGGGCACACTTTCTGCAGGAATAACTGTTCCTTTGCCACGACGAACAACGGACCTGGATTCCTGTCTTGCAGCTTGGTGTAGACAGCCTTTCATACATGCCCTGGTGCAGGCGCCTCTTTGGTTATGCATACACTTGCCGAGATATGCTGAGCAGGCCGGAAAGATTCGCAAAAACAGGGTCTGTGTTCGCATTGATCCAGGGAACATCACATATGGCGTCTTCGCGAAGCGACAAAGTTGTCTTTCTGTTTTCATAGCAGCCGCCTTAGCTGAGCAATGATTCCAAAATCTTTCCAAACTTAGTTTCGAACTCCGCACACGTTCATGCCGTTTAAAGGTGCTTCGCAGACCACTGGAGGCACCCTTGTGATCCGGACTGTGTGTGTTTGAAATCCCATGTTGCACCTGAACAGGCAGCCAAATGTAGCCATTTTGGCTCAAGCATGGCTCGTTTCGCACTAGCACACATTGCAGGGCAGTCCATGATGTACGCAGACATGGACAATGCTAGTGCTGAGCTATGCTAAACTTTTTCAGGCTTATAGGCATTTGGAGTGGCCTTAGGCCTCGTGCAAGCTGGCTGCCGTGAGAGCAGCCGGCGGATGGGCGACTCTGATTCGAACTCAGAGACTCCGCCAGCCCCTCGGCCCTCTGAGACCTTTGTGACGGTCCAGCGGTGGACTGATCAAGCAGTTTGGGACCATCAGCAGATAGCAGCCTTGCAGGTAGCGGTTTCGGACCTTCGGGATCAGATTAGTTTGATACATACCAGCCTTGAGGCACTCCGTCGTGATCGCGTGAGCGCCTTGCAGGGGCTGGGGCTTCCGCCGCAAGAGTGGGCTGACACCAACCTTCTCAGTCGCATTGTGTCCCTTTTCCGAGATCTAGCCGGAAAGGTCCGCTACTTGTGGCTGCATTACGGGGCACCCTTGCCCTCTGCTGTGCCAGTGGAGGACCCGTAGCTTCAGAGATGCAGCCAGCACCTCCAGCCGGGGGCCAGAAGCGTCGCATGGAAGACGTCATCTCCAACTGCCGATTTTTGGATTTTCGTGCCAAGCGCATCGTGATGCCCTGGGATCGTGGAGTTTTCGGTTTTGTCTTCGGAGTCCCGCCTGCTGTTGAACCCCTGGTTTACTTTTCCGACCCCCCATGGGAGCCTGATAGCAGCGCGGTTCGAAGTAGAGTCCAGCAGGCCTCTCAGGAGATTTTGCCAAACGCTACCCAGAAATTTGCACGGCAGCGAGCTCAGTGTGCCGCCTTGTTCAAGTCGGATGATGCAGTGCGCTTTGAAGCCTTGCGCAAGATCAAAGTTTTGACACTTTTGGAGCCTGCTGCCTCATCCTTTGGGCGTAATCTAGTAGCCGATGCCGCCCTGTTGTCCGACGACAGTGAGCTGCAGAAATCGTTTACTGATGCATTCGCGAACAAGAGTACTGCCACGCTGGCCAAGCGGACAGCCTCGTACTGGCGTTTTGCGGAGTTTTGCTTAGCTTCCGGTCTGGGTGCCCCGTTGCGAGCCGATGAAGCCACTCTTTACTCTTATATGAAGCATTTGCAAGCAAACGGAGCCCCGACCTCCGGGAAATCTTTCCTTGAGAGCTGGAACTTCATGTCTGCCCTGCTTGGTTTTGCGCCTGCCGCAGGTTCTCCCGTGTCCATTCGTGTTCGAGGTGCAGCTGCCGCCCTTGCAGCGACGAAGAAGCCCCTCGTGCAGGCTGCTCCCTTGACGGTTGACATGATTCGTGCACTAGAGCGCATTGTGGTGAAGTCCCCGTATCCTCATTGGTGCGTCATAGCCGGGCATATTTTGTTTTGTGTTGGCAGCTGTGCTCGTTTTTCCGACACCATGTACCTGGACTCGCTAGAATGCAGCAGTGCCGACGATGTGTATCTCCTGGAAGCCGCTTCTGTGTCTTACAAGACTGCCCAAGGCGACCGAAAGAACCTTCTGCTGCCGCTCCTCAGTTTGGGGTGTTTCTTGTACACAAGCGCCTGGGGGCCGGCCTGGATGCAAGCTCGGCAGGATGCCGGTCTCTCGCTGAAGCCATCCCTGCCCGCCTTCAGCGAGGCGGCCCAATGCTGGCTCACACGTCGCATGTCGACTGGTGAACTAAGCTTGTACCTTCGGGAATTCCTGGTAGCCAGCCAGATTGATTTGCCCCCTGCTAGTCGCGTGTCTTCCCACAGCTCAAAGGCTACCATGCTTAGCTGGCTTGCGAAATTCGGTGGCATATCTTTAGAAGACCGGCGAATTGCCGGACATCATCTCGATCCCGCTTCCCGCTCGCCACTCACCTACAGTCGGGACGAGCTTTGTCGTCTCATGAAAATCTTTTCTGACATTCTGCGGAAGATTCGAGCTGGCCAGTTCAAGCCCGATGACAGTCGAGTCATGCGATTGGCGGTCATGATCCAAGCATCTGAAGGACCTCAGCTTCAGGAGAAGGTGGTGGAACACGACCCTTTTGTGTCGGATTCTGAAGCTGAGGGCTCTGACCTGGACGTCGACGATCTCGAGGCCAGAGCTGTGGGGGTGCCTCTTGATGCTGCTCTCACGGCGGCGCAGGTTTCGAGTGTTTTCAGCAAGATGCATATTTACAGCAGGACGGTGCATATACAGGCTTCCGAAGGGGCCAAGTTCTTGTGTGGCCGACCCATAACCCGCAATTTTGGCGAGTTGGATCAGAATGTTCCTGCCTCTGACCTGCTCGTATGCAAGCGGTGTAGCCAAACATACAAGAGCAGCTGATACCGTCCGGCGGAGAGCTAAAACAGTTTGCGCCCTTTCACTTCCCTTTGCTCGCCTGTCGGGTACTCGGATTTCATCCAAGCCCGCGTTGAGGCGCTTAGCCAAGCTGCACCCCGCTTGTAGTTCCTGGACTGCTATTTACATGTCCTTAGACATCATGCAAATCAAGTCTTTGCTGCCCGCGGTAACCGGGGTACTCCCCTAGCCGCGCTAAGCTGTACTACGACAGTATCCGGTCTGCTCGTCGTCTACGAGGCGGTAATCGGGACTGACCCCAAGCCGCCTGGCGATGCAGGTCCGTCCTTGGCCGGCGTGGGTGCAGTATTTGGTCAACATGCTCGAGCTCTGTAGCTTTCTGCAACTTTGAGCTTCAGGGTAGCGTTCTGCAAATTCTGAGCTTCAGTGACATTATGCAACTTTCATGCCACATGCAGCTCTGCCTTGTGTTCCGCGCAGCTTTTGTCCCGAGGCAACATGTCCTCACTTGATAGTCGTGCAGCCTTCAAGGCACGAGCCTTGGAGCTCAATTTTCCAGAGGAGGCTTTAGCTAAGCTGGCGGCCGTGCATGTGGACACCTTCGGTTCCTTAGCGTTCATCGGCCCTTTGTCGGCCGGGAACAGCGATGAAGGCCCTTTGGTTGCTACCCTGAAGCGTGCCTTGGGGCAGGCGCCCAGCGACCAAGTGCTATGCATTGCTAGAAGACTTTGGTTTGAGAGCACCACACAAGCCCTTGCTGAGATGCGTGGGAAAGTCGAGCGGACTGACACCTCCGAGCCAGTTCGCATGCCTCTCGCTGAGCGCACCCAACGCATCAGTGAGTTGCAGAAACGCCTGGTGGGCATCCATTGGAGCGCTGACGTTGAGCCCTCGCACAAGCTCCAAGACTTGGTTGCACAAATGGTCGCCGATCAATCCCTGCTCTGGCTGCCGTGGGAGCGCCTGACCAGTCGGGCTCTTGAGATCACTACTGAGAAGGTCGACCATTCTGTGGGGTTCGATTCTGCTGGGAACTTGAAGTTGCTCCGCCGTTCCAGTGACCCCAGCTGCAGCACGTTAGGGGAATACGCCATCAAGTTGGCGCTGCAATGCCGCAGCCTTGCCTTCGAGTTGGGACGGATTTGCCGCTATGAGCATTTGGAGCGCTGGCATGATCAGCTCTTGCAGACGCACATGCGCTCTCAGCCACCAGGGATGCAACGTGTCTCCCTCCAACAGCTCCGTGAGGCCGACAAAATGCTGTGGACCCGCATCGCTGAGGACACCAGAGGAGCTTTGTCCATTCGACCCGATGGCTCCTACCCTTTTGAGGCTTCGCTCGCCAAGTGGCAGGATCACACGCAGGTGCAGTGCTACCTCATCCCGTTGCTTAAGCAGACTGCCCCGGATCCAGATCTTCCCCTTAAGCCCAAACAACCCAACAAGCCGCCTAACAAGCCTGTGCGCAAGGACCGTGATCTTGCTCTCAAGCCTCCGACCAATCCGCAGGCGCCCAAGACTCCTGGCGAAGGGGACAAGAAAAAGACCTGGACCGTGCCCTCCGGCTGCCACTCTCAGGACGCCGAGGGAAAGCCCTTGTGTTTCTCCTTCAACTTACGGGGTTGCACCTTCGCCAAGGCGGGAAAGAGGTGCCGACGAGGGCGCCATGTGTGCTGGAAGTGCCTGGGACCTCATCCGGCTTACGAGTGTCCGGAGTTTCAGTGATCGGCCGCTGCGGCCGCCGGCATAGTGAATCCCGTCTTTCGGGATGATGAGACCGGTGGCAACCGCTACGCTGCTGAACAGCTCGCCAGTTCGCTCCTCAGCCGATCTTGCGTATCTCCAGATGACCTTTTGCGTTTGAGCCTTGCTTTGCCGTCGGAAGTCCCCGCCCGGGGAGTTGACATTTCCGGTAGCCGTTCTGTTAGTTTGGGTGCTTTCGCTTGCTCCAAGCTCCCGGGCTTGCTTGTTCGCGACACGAGCAAACAGCACCCCTTGTCCACTCGAGTTTTCTCCCGCTTCGTCAGAGGACTTTGCCCTGACTTCACGTGCACTACGATTGCAGTCTTTACAAACCTTAAAACCGACCTTCACCAGGACACTGCGAATGACCCTGCAAGCCAAAACCTCTTGTACCCTTTGACCGCCTTCTCTGAGGGAGGTGTCTGGTGTGAGGACCCAGCCGGCAGTGTCTCCTTTTTGCATCGGGGTCAAACCTTGTGGGGCTATGTCCTTGAAGTCTCGCAAGGGTTGTGCTTTTTGCCTGCGCCCAACAGGCGACACGCCACCCTGCCGTGGAAAGGTGATCGCTCCTTGCTTGTGTGTTACAGTGCCAAGGGGGCCGCCGATATGCCCTCCCGAACCCGATCCTTCTTGGAAGCCCTTCAGTTTCCCCTTCCACCTGCCACTCAGACCATCCCCAGGACCCTGTCCCTTGCCACACCCATGTTTCAGGCCGACCCTGATCGTCCAGGACCGCTCTTTGTTGAGCTTTTTGCAGGTTGCGCCCGCCTCTCCAAGTTCTGTCATGCCGCTGGCTTTCGAGTCTTGCCTGTTGATTCCCCATGGAACCCGCACAGGCCCGAGCATCCCGTGCTGGTCTTGGACCTCACCGAAGAAGCCTGTCAGCAGCAGCTTCTGGCCCGACTTCTCCAGGAGCCTCCCTTCGCAGTCCACATTGCCCTCCCGTGCGGCACTGGCAGTCGCGCTCGTGAGCGACCTATCAGCAAGAGAGCTCGTCTCCAAGGCGCGCCTGACCCTCGTCCCCTGAGGGACGGTGAGAACGTTCTTGGACTGCCTGGGCTTTCAGAAAAGGATCAATTCCGCGTCGACAAGTCCAATGAGCTCTGTCGCTTCGTGATTTTCTTGTTGCAGCACCTGCCCAGCTCTTGTCAAATAAGCATCGAGAATCCGGAGAACTCCTGGATTTGGGCGGTCCTGGCCCACTTCGTTCGCGCCTCCCAGTGCCCCTCCCTGCTCAAGCGCTGGTCCTCCATGCGGGAAGTGTGTTTCAGCAACTGCATGAAAGGCGGCAAGCGACCGAAACGCACTCGCTTTCGGTGCAGTCATGCTTCACTTCAGAGCATGGAAGCAGACTGCGACGGCCTGCATGAACATTTGCCCTACCTTGTCTACCGCTGCAACGGATCTTGGAGTTTCTCTACTGCTCAGGAGGCCGAGTATCCAGCGGGACTATGCTCCGAAATGGCGTCCCTCCTTTCCGCAGCAGCGGGCCTGCCAGCCCGACTTGATCCCCCGGCAGGTCCTCGACCTTTGTGGCCGCAACAGAAGGGCGCCCGCAAACTCTTGTCTGAGTTCCTCGAGTTTCGCACCGCTCCCCCTTTAGACCGGCCCTTACCACTTGGGTTCCCCCAACGGGATTGTCCCTCTGTTTGAACTAGGGCGGGCTGGGATGGGGGAAAACTTGTGCTTTGAAAAGTCCTTTGAAAGTTGCTTCTCGCTTCGGATTCATCAGATGCGCGCAAGACGGTTTTTGCAGCATGCATTAACTTGTGAAATGTCAGGCCTCGTTGCCTTTGTGGCGCAAGCATAAAAAATTTTGTTAGTGAGGGGGAGGGGACCTGCGGCTCATGGACTGTTGGGAATTGCTGGGCTGATGTGAGCTCTTTTCCGACATGTCTAATTGGGCTGGACTGCGGAAGATTGATGATGGCCTTTTTGCTGCTGTTACTGACACGTACAAGAATCTTTTGCAGTTTGATGGTTCCTTCGAAGATGAAGCTGGGGCTAAATCTACTGTGGAGGAATTTCTTGCTGGAAAGAGGACAGCAGGCGATATCGAAAACATTTCAAAGGAGCTCTGGGCATGGAGGCAGTCGCGCTTGAAGAGGAGGCCGTCCGAGGTAGTGCTTTTGCAGAGACGCTTACCTGAGTTCGCTGCTAGTGTTCCACGCTCCCAGAAGGATATCACTGCGGTTTTTGAAGAGGCAGTCAACACCACCCCTGCTGTTGCGCTGTCCCTGCTGAAGCGTGCAATCAGAGCAGCTAGGGCCCATGGGGACAAAGAGGAGGTAGAGAACAAGTTGCGTGAGAAGTGGGCCCTCGAGCTTGTCGCCATTATACAGGAGGCAGAGCTGCCTGCCGCAGAGCGGATTGCTGCATTGGGCAATGACAATCATTTCTGGTTAAGAGCTTTTGGACGACGTAGGGGAAAAACGCTGCGAAATCGTGCGAGAGCTTGGAAGCCGGTTAGGGCTTGGTTGCAGGGCTCATTGGGAATTTCTTGGCCTGTGGATGCTGGAGTGATCTTGAGATATCTTGAGGAGAGAGATGAGATTCACAGGATGGGAAAGAGTGTTCCCAAATCTATCCTGGCAAGCCTTTCACTCTTGGAAGGCGTTGGGATGGTACCGGCTGGCAAACGCCTTTGCGAGGACCCCTTGCTGCTTGAGAGCATCAAGTCTTGGACAGCCGAGCTGGAAGTCGATCAGGCTGCACCAAAGGCAGCTGCAATGTTGCCTGTTTCAGTCGTGCTAATATGCGAGCTGGTGGTTTGCAGGCCTTTGTACCCACCTGGGTTGCGATTCATGGCTTTCATTTTGCTGGTCATGGTATGGGCAAGCCTGCGCGCAGATGATATGCAAAACGTCAATCCAGCCAGTGTGAAGCTGAGCCAGGTCGGACTGAGGTTCATCCTTAGGAAGACGAAGACGAGTGGACCTGGGCGCAAGGTTGGTGAGCTGCATGGGTTCATTTCTCGGGTCGTGGGACTCAGTGGCTTTGACTGGCTCGGGGAAGGTTTCAAGCTGCTGACTTCTGAACGATTTTCATGGGCGCGAGATTTTCTATGCCCTTGCTTTACAAATGAGTGGGATGAGCCAAAGAGAGAATACATGGACGCGGAGGGCCTCGCTTTGCAGTTGAGGCGTTTGCTGAAGGAGTTGCCTACACCGGTGAGGCAAATGGGAACCTGGAAGGTGAAACGAGAGCTGCTGCTGCCTGGCGACGTCGCAAACTTTTGGACAGGGCACAGTCCTCGTCACTTCGTGGTGAGCATTGCAGCCGCCATCGGGATATCAAAGGACCGGCGTGACTATCTGGGGCGATGGGCGTATGCTCAACATGGGTCACAGGATTACGTCCTCACTTCGCGTCAGGTGGTCCAGGCGATCCAGACCACTGTTTGCAAGACACTGCTATTGGGGGGCGATGGAGGCGGTTACATTGAGGAGGAGCTGCTTTGCACTTTAAGGAGTTTTGCTGATGACCTTGGATTGAATGGGGAGGAGATCGTCGGCGCAAATACGGTGATGCAATGGGATGGACACAAACAGACCTGGTTGCTGGGGGGACAATATCCTGCTTTGGAGAGGGTTCCGATTGCCGAAGGGGAGCTCGAGGCGAAGCTCCCTGGAGAATATGAGGCTTTTGAAGCAGAGCCGGACGAGGACGAGGCGCCGTACTTCTTGACTGTCTCTCGGAGAGGGTTCAGACGTTTGCATCTTTCCAAGCGTTGTGCAGTCCGGAGAGAGAGGTGCCTCGAGACCATTCCAGTTTTCCACCTTGGAGAGGGCATTGCTGATGCGATGTGTAAGCTGTGCAAGCCGCGGGTGGAGATAGGCGAAGAGTCTTCAACTAGTGGCTCGGAGGACACTGTTGAAGGTGAGCAGGAGGCTATTGAGCCAGAGCCTTTCGGTGGAGGCCTTGGGCTCGGGCCCTTGGCTGGAGGCTTGGGGCATGATCAGGATCTCTGATTTGCACCTTGGGCTGGAGGCGCCTGACTCTTGGATTCTTGGTAGGAAGCTCTGCAGGAGGCAGCAGAGCGCAGTGCTCGATTGGAGCAAGACGTGCCGGAAGGAGAGCACGCAATAAAGAGTGAGATTGCTGGGGAGGGGACAGCATCTAGACGAGCGTGTAGTGCCTGACCTCCCGCAACGGGGTTGCCATCACTGTTGGAGGTGCACTTGTGAGGTTCGTACGCAGATTGATGGCTCGAATTTTCCGGGATTTTCTGCTTCTTTCATAGGTCCACTGTGCATGTGCTGAGGTGCGGGGACGCTGTGCTGAGAAGCACCTGGTGCAATGGCCGGAGCGGCGCCGGCTCCTGGGCCAGCAGAGTTGCCAACAGGGGTCACCCAGGACCAAGCCCTTGATTTTCTTGATAAGCAGGTAAGTTCTGATCTGGTGCATATTTTCCAAGAATGCGGAATGCCTTTGGGATTGCAGTATCGATTGGGACAAAACTTCAAATCAGTGAAGCGATTCTCGACATACGCTGACACACGGGGCGAAGTGCGCACTGCTTTGAAAGATGATCACCAGTTGGAGGCCACGGACCAGGCGAGCAGAGCTGTCGTTGCAGCAGTAGTTTCAGCCTGGGAGACATCGCGCGAGGTCGCCAGCAAGGAAACGGAGTTGAGGGCAGAGGCGCGCATGCTGGGCGTCAGCAGACCAGTGACGCAGACTGAGAAGCAGGCTATGAGGGTTGCGTATGAGGCAGCCCACGGGACGCTCGAGGAGGCATTCGAGCCTTCCGACGACTACATCTCTGCAAAGCTTGAGGAGGTCGAGAGTGGCGAGATCACCGCTAGTGCCCTTTCTGAAGTGACATCCAAGAAGAAGGTGAAGACCATGGGGATACAGACGACAGTGGATACTGGAGGTCATGTCAGGATCGTCAAACAGAAGAACAAAGGGGTAATGCCCTCACATACAGAAGAGCTGAGAACGGTGCTGAGAGTTGAGGGCAATATGTGGACATTTTTGGCATCCAAGTACAAGAACAAGATCTTTTTCCAAGGCATGGGGCCAGATGCTTGGCTGGGATATGCAAACTACTTGCTTGGGGAACGGGTGTACTTGCTGCAGGTCCCGGTCACCGGGAAGGGCGGGAAGATGGATCAAATCCCATTGAAACCGCCATGGGTGGTGATCCTCAACTATGAATACGAGTTGAGGAAAGAAGCGATCAAGAGAGCCTTTCGTGATTCCCGCCCCTTGCGCGAGACCCTTCGGGAGGTGACAGATGATGCACAGTTGAAAGAACAGTATTTCACAGCTCCCATAGCGCTGCAAAACAGAGGAAAGCGTGGCAGTGATCAATGGGATGGCCAGCACGATGATGGAAAATGGCACCGGGACACCTGGCGAAAAGGAGCTGGCTGGGGCAAAGGCACACCGCGCAAAGGAGATGACAAAGGACGTGGCGATCAAAAGGGCAAGGACAAGAAAGGAAAGGACCCAAAGGGTCCTGGCAAAGGGAAGCGTGAGAGCGTCACCACCACTCGAACGCCAGACGGGGGGTGGATCTGCTTTGACTACTCCGGGCCAGGGTGTGATGGAAACTGCGGCATGGTACACTGCTGCATGGTCAAAGGATGCCACGGTCCACATCCTACGTGGCAACATTGGCAACAGCATCACTCTGGCAAGACAACGGATGCTCCGAAGCACTGACTCAGGGTCTTGGTGGGCTTCGGCAGTCACGGCGCAAACGAGCAGATGCATGTGTGTTTTAAGAATGCAGCACAGAGGACAGGGAGCGAGCTTAAGGTTGGCTTCCTGCTTGATTGCGATGATGATGCATGGTTTAAACCAGAGGCATGGGATCGCATTTTCACCGAGATTCATGAACATTCATGGGATATTGTTTTGCTTTCGCCGCCTTGCAAGACGTTCAGTCGTGCAAGAGAGCACCGCAGGACAGAGCGGCATGGGCCTGGTCCTTCCAGGTCGCACACTTATCCTTTTGGTTTTCCTTGGTTGGCAGAGAGGTCGCGTGCTGCTGTTGATCGAGAAAATTTTTACTTGCGGCAGTCTTTCAACGTAATCAAAGCGGCAATCAAATCGGGCATGGGTTGGCTACTCGTCCACCCAGAAGATCTGGGTGCTTTACATTCGGGTCAAAGGCCAGCTAGCATTTGGCAACTTGATGAGCTTCGTGCATTTGTGGAAGGTGATGAACATGCGGCAACATGGGCAGTACACATGTGCACTTTCGGGGGCGATCTCCCTCACCCCACGAGGCTGGCAACCAATTTAGCAGGCCCTGAGGCGCAGCTCAGATGGCCGCAGTTCGATGCAACAGGGTCCTATGTAGGGCCAATTGGCCGGTGCGAGCATTTGCATCATGGTGGAGCCGGCATAGCACACGATGGAAGTTGGAAGACGGACACACCTCTTCCGTTGGCCTTCTGTGAACATGTGGTGCAGATGGCATGTGATTGGCAGTTGTCTGGGCGCGCTACAGACGACGTTGGCCATCCGGCTGAACAGTTCGCCACATGCTTGCTAGAGCAGTCCGATTCGCGTAAACTTGGGAAACATGATGGAGAAGCTCTGGCCCGCCTGCTCGAATACGAAGCACCGCATCCGGCAGCAGTGGCAGATGCGGCCCCGGAGCAAAGTGGCGGCAAGGCCTTCTTCGGCGGAGCCTACACTAAGGGTGGCGTCACGGGTTTGCGCCGTTCTTGCCGGCTGTTCCCTCAGTCCCTTAAGTGCCTCACCTTGCTCCTTCGTGATGCCTTCCCCAACAAGCCCTTTAGTTCTCTTGTGGTATTCAATAACGTCAAGAGTACTATGCACAAAGACGTGCACAACGCGCCTTACCCAAACTTGCTTCTTGCATTAACCACTTTCCAAGGTGGGCAGGTTTGGATGGAAAGCAGCCACGGTCATGTCGTGCGCATGGTTCGCGGCATCCCGCGCAAAGGCGTTCTTCTCCCAGTGGCCCAGGCTCCGCAGGAGCTCCAGGCTCACAACTGCTTCCATCAAACCGAGGCGTGGACTGGTGATCGAGTTCTCTTAGTTGGATTCACAGTCACCCGCCTTCACTCGCTGTCACCGCCCATGCGTGATAACCTCCTCTCTTTGGGCTTCGTCCTTCCCCCATCTGCTCACCTGCCACAGCAAGGGGGGGAGGGGCTCGCTGATCGGGAGGCCGAAGCGGTGCCGGCGATGGCATTAAAGCAACATGAACTCCACGCTACTAACACCCCTCCAGGAGGGACCATCCTGGAGGCACCTGGTCCTGGCTCTAGCACCCCTTCAGGAGGGACCATCCTGGAGGCCCCGGGCCCCGTCCTTGGCACCCCTTCAGGAGGGACCATCCTGGAGGCACCTGGTTTAGGGACCCTTCGGTTTGCACCCCTACAGGAGGAACCCTTCTGGAGGCCCCGCATAGCACCCCAACAGGAGGGACCATCCTGCTGGCACCTGAGGCTCCCCTTTCCGACCAACCCGATGGCGAGGACGTTGGTGACCCCCAAGAGTTTGACCCACGCACATCCCGTTGCAGTGGGCCGGCCTTGCGTTGTCGGCACACACAGGTCCGGCGTGAACTTGTAGATGGATTTGGCTTGTGCTCCCCGGGGAGGTGGCGACCGAAGTCACGTGGGGCATTAGCTTCCGACATCCAGCACAGCCATTCACTTAGCATACGAAGGATTCTTGTCAGTGCGCTGCGGGAGGCCATCCCCGACAGGAAGAAAGCTGCCTTCATGCTTGCCACGGGAAAGATGGAGAGCTCACCATTTTCACGTAGCACCATCGCTAAGGTCAGGGAACGGATTGCTGCTTTGTTGCCAGACCCTGAGCAGGCAATGCAGATTCCCCAAGGACAACCTTTCATGTTGCACATGCTTTCCCAGTCGCTCCGGGTGTTTGGGGATCCTGACTATGCAATCCTGGACCAAGGGAAGGACTCGTTTGCAGAAGGGGTGCCCCTTGGTTGGGATAAGCCCATCGGCAGGGCTCCTCAGGTGTTCCCGAAGAGGACGCACTTCCGGAAGCTTGACGAGACCGAGTTTGATCCCTCCATGGTGAACTACCGGTCAGCCGAACTAAATGCTGAGCAGTTGGAAGAGAAGTTTCGTCAAGACGAACGGGAAGGCCTGATGATCTGCACCACGGAAGCTGAGGTTAAGAAGAAATATGGAGAGGACGCTGTGCTGATCGCTGCGATGGGAGCAGTGACCAAAGCTAATGGTGATGTGCGGCCGCTACATGACGGCACCCATGGCATCAACCTAAACAACCGGATCGTGATCACAGACAAACTGCAGGTTCCTGGACCAGAAGACCTTCAAGAGGTGGCAGCACGCGTCAAGGAGAGCAAGGAGGCTCCTTTTTCCCTATGCGCCGACATCAGCCAGGCGCACCGACGCGTAAAGGTGCGGGAGGCCGATTGGCCACGCTTGTCGTGCAAGGCATCCTCGCAATCGCGCGTGCTTTGGCTAAATTGCGTTGGAACGTTTGGGGTCAGCTCTGCCGCATACTACTGGTCGCGCCTTTTCGGAGCCGTTGGACGGTGGACTTTCCGGGTCCTTTCCTTGGACCAATTCTACATGTTGATCTACGTGGATGATCTTCACGTCGTGGTGTTTGGCTGCGATAAGTACGATACCCTATGGCTGCTTTTCTTGGCCCTTGAAGTGATGGGGACTCCTTTCTCTTTTCACAAGTTCAAAGGGGGAGTGGAAGTGGACTACATTGGATATCACCTCAGCTACTTCACGTGGGCAGCTGGCATTTCGGAGAAGCGGGCATCCTGGATCATTGAATGGATCGATCGAGTGGAAGCCGACGGGTGGATGGTGTCTGGCAGGCGGCTGGTGGAGTTCACCGGACGTCTCAACTTTGTGACACGCATGATCACTTGGTTGAAACCTTTCCTGGCACCATTGTTTGCTTGGAACGGGGTGCTCAGCCGCAGCACAGTGGCGCGCCTACCCGAGATGGTGATGCTAGTCCTTCG